TTTCCCCACAAACCTGGAATGAACAGAGGAGGCCGTTCAGAGGGCATCTGTAAGAACGGAATGAAGACAGCTGAGGGCCAAGTCCACTCCTGGGAAGGATCTATCACAGAAGGTGGCAGGAGTGGCCTCTGGTCTCCACCCCCCATGGAGCTAAGCAGGCAGGGTGACAGGGAGGGCCTGTAAAGCCATGATGCTAAAAACCACAGTCACTTTGAATTTCAGTTGTGGATGTATTTTACATCCAACATTTACATCATGGTTGCCAGAGCAGACCTTTAAGGAGATGGGCAGGTGGGATGTGTGGCAGTTTCAGGGAGGACAGACCCTCAAGGGAATGTATGAGCCTGATTCAGATGACTGTGTTCTTGTCTTCAAAGCCATCCTGGTCTAGTTTTCTGTTTCCATCTTCTTGGACTACCTTTCCTCTGGACAAATCTAAGGTGTTAACCTCGGCATTTACTCCTCAGCTTGCTAAGAAGAACTAACTAGCACCATCTGTCTGTCAGTAGATGCCATGTGAATGCATCCAAGGACACCAGAAGAGAGCATCTTGGAATCAGTTTCAGGGATCTGTGAGCTGCTCAGTGTGTGCCAGGACCTGAACCCTGGTCCTCTGGAGGAGCATTAAGTACTCTTAACCTCTGAACCATCTCTTCAGCTCCCTACCAATCGTTCCGTATCCTGAATTTGTAGCACCTTTGCTAGGGAACTCTAGCTGCTGGTCCTTCTCTCATCTGGACCTGAGTGTCCACATGTACAGCCTGGGATGCTCTGTGGCCATCAGGATACACAAGGACACATTTTCCAAGAGCAAGGGGCTGTGGGACTTCAAGAGGGAATACCATCCACCATTTTTCTACTGATGCTGTGAGAAACGACCACGTAGCAGCAGTTATGAAAGCGTGGGTGTGGAAGTACACGTGCTTGATCCTGAGTCTCAGGAGGATGAAGAGCTTGAGGCCTGCCTGAGTTACAATACACGGTGAGACTCCTGCAAAATACATCTACAATTGAAATTCAAAGTGACTGTGGTTTTTGGGTTAGAGTCAGCCAAGGTCTCCCAGCCAGAATATGAGGATATTTGCTGGCTGGACCCCTCGTGGAGGCTCTAGGAAAGAGAACCTCCTTCAAACTCTCTAGGGCTATAGTCAGAAACCAATGTGTACATTTGCAAGATAATAGTCTGGTCCCCTCCTGCAGCATCTCTGTATGGGTTCCACTTCTGACCCCAGACTTTCATGCCTTTCCTTTGGCATCTCTGGTGATGCTCTGCACTCTGAGGCTGACGTGGATTAATGGAACCCACTCAGGCAATCCCACAGAATCCTCAACTTTCGAGTCTGTCACCTCCATCGATTTCAAAGTCCTCTGTGTCCTGCGCATTCCCTAGTTCCAGGAATTAAGGTGTGCGTTGTCCTCAGTGATCCTTCTCAGGGCGAGGCAGGGTGGAGTGCGGGTGAACAGTTCAGCCTCGGGTTGTTTCTGTACCAGGCTAGGACACACACACACACACACACACACACACACACACACACACGTCTGTCTTTAAAAGTGTAAGGCCACACCCAACGGGAGTGTTTCACCCTATAAGGGCTTGGGTTGCCCTGGGCCAGGAAGGAAGGACCAGCTGGGCAGGAACTGGGTGGAGATCCAAGATTCCTGGGCAGGGACAGGATTTGCCCAAACCAAAGAAAGGTAGGACTGGCTGGTCCAGGCTTTCCAGGGAGCCAATGCATGGGCTGGTGTCTGGCCATGGTTTCCTCTGGGCCATTCTGAAAATCTCCCTGGGGCCACCATCACCAACGAAACAGCAAAAGAGACTGCCTCCAGGAGACCCCCCCACACACACTTTGAGGAGTTGCAGAGTCTCTCATTGGGGTTCCTGGGACCTTACCCTGACTCTGGCTCCCCTCTCCCCTTACTTCCCACATCTGCTAGGCTAGCTGTTCTGTTCTCTCCCTGAGTCCCTTTGTTCCAGGGGTCACCAGGTCTGAAAGGCATTCCTACGGGAACAGAAGGAAGGACAAAGTCTGCATGTCTGTGCTGTGCTGGCCCTTGCCCAACTTACCCAGCCAAGGCCCTCTGCCAGGGTGGCGTTTTCTCCCTAGTGGCTTCTTAGTTACCTTGCATCTTTTGTGACCCTTTCAAGGTCACCCCAGAAAATGCACCCAGGGCAGCACACTGCACTGCTCTGACCGCTCAAGGAGGCTCTGCCGTGGATGCCTTCCCGGCTTCAGCCACATTGCGCCTGCCTGCATGGGGGCAGCATCTTTAGCCAAGACCCATGCTAATCCCAGGCAGAGGCCAGAATCTCGATCTCTTTCTTTTCTTTAGTAGAAAAAGACAGGGCCTTGTCATATTTCCCCACTTACCCTTAAGCTCCTGGGCTCATGTGACCCTCCTGCCTTGGCCTCCCCAGCAGCTAGGACCATAGCTAGGCCCTTGTGCTGGCACTCATACTGTTGGTTGGCCATCCAGTGGGCAATGGCGACATCCCACATCTTGGGTCAAACTCAAGACTGGAGTCACAGGGCTCGGTAGGTGACTCTATCAGTAAAGTACTTGCCTTGCAAGAGTGGGAACCTGAGTTCAATCCCCATAACCCACAGTTTTAAAAAAACCCAGCATGGTGGTGATTCATGCTTGTGATCCCAGTGCCAAGGAGGCAGAGACAGAGGATCCGTGGAGTGCACTGGCCATACAGACTTACCTTGGGGTGGTGGAGTGGGCAGAGGTATAGCTCAGGGGCATCACGGGTCTGTGGTTGGCAGGGCACCCACAGTTTGTGGAGGTATCACTGAACACTCTGTATACACTGCTCAGTGTCACCCCTCACAATCCCGGGGGGTGCTGCTCTTCTCAGCTGCATGTGGCGAAGCTGAGTCATGCTGACTGGGGCCAATTCACAGACCGGAGGCTCCCAAGATGGGGTGACAGACAAACCAGCCAAGTCCCCTGGTGGAGGCAACCTTCCCAACCGCCAGCACACCCTGGCTTATCCTCCACAGAGCCTGTGAGCCAGGGTGGCACTCTGCTGTAAGGCAAAGGACACACACAGAGTGTGCTCTGACTGGGGGGTGTGGCAGCTCGGGAACAGAGCTTGCCTCGCCTGTACAAGACCCTAGCTTCCACCCTCCGGCACTGAAAACAAATTAATCTTCCCTGGTATACAGAGGGGAGACAGTCTTCATTTTCTTCAGGATCTTTGTAGAGAAAACGTCTGAATTTTGTCTCTTTTAAGCCATGGGTCTATTTGAACGCTGAAGAAGACTGTCCTGGTTAGTTTTGATCAACTTTTTTTTTTCTCCCCCAGAGACAGGGTTTCTGTGTAGCTTTGGAGTCTGTCCTGGAACCATCTCTTGTAGACCGGGCTGGCCTCGAACTCACAGAGTTGATCACCAACTTAACACAACCAAGAGTCACCTGGAAAGGTGTTTTAATGGAGGAAGCTTTCCCAGATCAGGTTGGCCTGTAACCATGCCCGTGGGAATTGTCTTGATTATTGATATGGGGGTGACCCAGTCCACTGCAAGTTGGTACCACCCCTAGCAGGTGGCCCTGAGTTGTATAAGAAAGCTAGGTGAATCTAGGGCAGCGAGAGGGGCCAATAAAAACAGTTCCTCTTTGGTTTGGGCTTCAGGTTCCTGCCTTGGCTTCTCCCAGTGACAGACTGCTACCTGGAAGTGTAAATCAAATAAACCCATTCCTCCCCAGGTCGTTTTCGGTCCTGGTGTTGCCGACAACAGAAAGCCGACTGGAGGGAAACCTCTCCGCTGCCTGACAACCCAGGGCTGCTTTGCTAAGGACCCAGGGGCTTTTCCAAGGAAATCCGCATCTGGTCACCCAGCCCCCTGGGGGTGGGTATGTGTGCAGAAGCCTACCTTAGGGTACCACGCTGACCTCAGAACACCTGTCATAAAGGTATGAACTTGGATGAAGACAGTCAGCTGACTGTTAACCAGGCCACTCTGGTTGACGGGGAATCCCAGGATGTGCTGTGTGACCAATGGCCTTGTGCAGTCCTCTTCCTTGAGGATTCGTGATCAGTGTGTGTGTGAAGGGTCATTCCCACCTGGCTGTGTGAAGAGAGGAACTTTCTGTTTACAATTTCTGGATACATGATTTTTGTTTTTTGTGGTGCTGGGGGTGGATTCTTGGCACGCATCATGTGAGCAATAGGCCACTGAGGTCCATTGTGTTTATATCTTTGTGGGAGATTGATTTTGATGCCCACAGCTGCCAGGTTTAATGTGCATTCATTTGTTAACAATGCTGCTTTCTTTCCTTCTTGCCTGTGCAGAGATTTACCAGATTTTAGCCTTCTTCAAATATGGATGACTAACTCGGCACCCACAGTGGAGTGCTAACCAACCCAGGATAAAGAGTGAGCAGGTCCTGTTTTCACGGAACCAAAAAGTGTAAGATGCATAATGGTTGCATAATGGTTTGTGATGCTGTATCTTGAGGTCCAAGAGGGAAGCCTCTGTATTTCCTGCCACTTTGGAAGACAGAGCAGGAAGTAACGCAAGTGTTTGGTTTTGTGTGTGCACATGTTGTTTTGTTCTGTTGAGACAATCTCACTATTCAGCCCATCCTGACTGGCCTAGAACTCACTATGCAGACTAGGGCAACCTTGAAGCCACAGAGACCTGGGGCCTCCATCTCCCAAGTGCTGAGATTAAAGGCGGTGTCTCCAGGCCTGTGCCACCCGCCGGGTCCCGCCTATGCGTGAGCACACAGCCAGAGCGAAGGATAAGCACCATTTAAATGGCCGACTTTCGTGGTGGGACTCAGTCTTATGGGCCAAGCCATCTCTCCAACCCTACTTTAAGAGTAATGGAAGTGCAGGGTGGCGCCAGGCACCCCAACAACAGTCCGGGAGAGGGGGCTGGCAGCCGGCCTCCCTCTGCTGGCCCTTCTGAGGTTCTCAGCCTTGACTGAAAACCAGTTACAGCCAGACTGACACAGTGTCGCTTTCATAGGATTCGTGTGGACACCGCCCCAGTGCAAAAGCATGGAAAGCTTTACTTTTTATAAAAAGGAATATAAAAACGGAATAATAATTACAGACAAAACCTCTCCTGCCTGAGACTTCCCTCTATGATGATCCTAACTGTCCACTCTGATCCTGGTGGGGTTCACTCACACAGGCAGGGCTTCCCTCAACTTATCTTAGGGTCTCACCATCCTGGGGGACAGGGAAGGCAGAGAACTGTACTGGGACCCAGGGCAGAGATCCTGGGGTTTCTGTAGACAGCATCCTGCAGAGGTACTTTCCTTGGGACACAGAAAAGGGATGGAGGCAGGGGTCCTCCTAAGCCCTTTGACCACTTCCAGGCTGGGTTGAGAAGGAGGTCCACACAGGAGAGCGTTCAGGGGAGCCTGCTAGATGCCTAAGCCTACAAGCTAAAGGCTACTTACTATCACCCTCCTTTAAGTAGAAAAAAAGAGGCCTAGACAGTCAAGAGACTTCCCTGGTTTCCACCCCAAACAAGGGGCAGCTTAATCTCCCGGGGTTCTCCCCCTAACATCCTTGGGCTACCAGTTGAATGCGACAAACCAGAGCTCTTAGAAGTCAAAGACTGAAGTCTGCAACTAGGGCACAGTGTTGGGGGAGGGCTGTGCTTTGCAACTCCAGGTCGGGAGGAGGGCTTCTGTGTTTGTTAAAAAGCTCAGACCCAGATCTATGACCACACGGAGAAGGGGGTGGGGTTGTTAGTCTTCAACAGAACTAACAGTTGTTAGTCTTTTCCTCTCTGGGTTCTGGTTTTCCACCTCAGCAATGGTGTCCTGGTGTCCTTTGGTGGCTGAGCGAGGCTAGACAGAACAGTCCAGGCTGCAGTAGTCGGCAGAGGAGAAGAGTCTCAGCACATTAACCAGGGGGAACATGAGCAGGGCACCGATTAGCGAGCCCAGCTGCACCGCTGCCCCACACCACAAGAGGGCACTGCGGCTCCGGTCACGCAAGATCAAACCCAGCATCACCTTGACGTAGCTGAGACAGGCTGCAAACAGCACCCAGGAGAGCACCTGCCGGGGACAAGGACACCAGGGGAGATGCAGAAGGAAGACAACTCTAGGGCATGCCCTCATGGGCTAAGGAAGGGAGATGAAATGGCTCCCGACTACAAGGAGGTCCTACAGAGGTGACCCTGAAGGGCTAAGGGAACCATGGGAGCTATCCCTCCAGAGTAAAAGGAAACCCACGTGTCTCTCCCTCCCCCAAATGATCAAGTCAGGGCACATACGGGAGAGGTAGCATTATGGCAACTTCACCTCCCTAAGTCCCCACTTTTATGAGAACCATTCAGAGGACTTAGGCTAAGAGAAAGGGCTGTCCCTGGGGTCTGCCCAGCCTTGAGAATTGAGAATCAGAGGGGATACTTACGATGAGGACTTCTCCACCCCAGTGACCCTGCAGGATGGGGCAGGGACTCATGGCAGCCATGGCCATGTTGTAGGCCCCAAAGCCGGTTCCCAACAGTGTGAGCAACCCCAGGAACAACAGTGACCTGTGGCGGAGTGGAGAAGGGCAATGAGAGGAGTTGAGAAGCCTGACCTCTGTTCCCTTCACCCAGACCTCAAGGAGTAGCCTCCAGGGTTAGACCTTTATGGAAAACAATCCTAGGCTACTTAGGTTAAGGGGGACACCAAGAGCCAAGTACCTCATGTTCATACCAGATCACAGCTCAACCACCCAAGCCTTGAGCCTGGTCCTTGGCCCATCTCTGACCTATTCTTGCCTGCACAATGGGAATGTGGTGGGCAGAGGTGCCCTGGGGGAGGGATGGAGCACGGGCACTGGGCGGCTTCCCCGGCATGGGTGTTGTGTTGACTGACATTTCCCTCATGGTACCAGCTCCTTGCCAGGAAGCCACCAGGGGGGCTTTGATCTCTGCAGGGCCTTCAGGGTGTGATGTGTTTTCTCCAGGACCCTTCACCCCTTCTCTCAGGGAGGCCGGCCATCTGCCTGGGAGGTCAGCCAATGCGTCCTGGAGGAGACTTTTCAGAATTCCATCAGAATCTGGCTGGCAGCTGAGGACACCACTTTCCTTGGGTGAGGCTCAGAAAAATGGCAACGCCTTCCCTGGTTCGTGAATGAGTGTTTAGGAGCGTTTGACCAGTATCTGTGGAAACTGTTGCCACCAGCTTTTACTTCCTGTCTTGACTGGTTCTGCCTACCAACTTGACACAGCTAGAGTCATCAGAGAGGGAGGGGCTTCGGTTGAGGAAACAGTTAAATGAAAGACCCAGCTGTAAGTAAGGCATTTTCTCAATTAGTAGTCAATGGGGGAGGGCCCAGCCCAAGGTAGGTGGTCCCATCCCTGGGCAGATGGTCCTGGGTTCTATAAGAAAGCAGACCTAGGGCTAGAGAGATGACTCAGAGGTCAATAACGCTGACTGCTCTTCCAGAGGTCCTGAGTTCAATTCCCAGCAACCACATGGTGGCTCACAACCATCTACAATAAAATCTGGTGTCCTCTTCTGGCCTGCAGGCATCCATGGAGGCAGAACACTGCGTACATAATAAATAAAATAAAATAAATAAAAATAAAAATAATAAAAAAAGAAAGCAGGCCTAGGAAGCCAAGTGAGGCAAGCAAGCCAGTGAGCATTCCCCCTCCCTTCTGTGGCCTCTGCATCAGTTCCTGCCTCCAGGTTCCAGCCCTGCTTGAGTTCCTGTTCTGACTTCCTCCAATGATGGACTATGATCTGGAAGTGTAGGCCACCCCCCACCCTTTCCTCCCCAACTTACTTTTTGGTCATGGTGTTTCATCCCAGCGATAGAACCCTAACCAAGACACTTCCCCTCTGACTGTAACCTGAGACATGCACCTACAGAGACCTACCCTGACTCCTCCTTGCAATGCCAAAGAAACACGAGAGCTGGGTGGTATAGCAGGTGCTCTCCCTCGGAGTGAGCACGACCCACCTTATCTCAGCTGTTCTGTGCATATACCTGTCATTTCTTCATTGCCATGGCCCCAGCCAGGTTTCCAGGATGAAGATGATACTCTTGAGCCAGGGCCCAGCCCGCTCTGGTAGTCTACGTTACATCTTTGCCTTGCTATCCTAGAAGTGCATCTTGATGGGGACAGCTGGACCAGAGGCAGGAGCGCCAAGGCTAAACAAGCCCAGCTCCATCCCTTTCTCTAGGTCTTAGGATTCTACATGTCCACTTCAGTAGCCGACTGTCACTTAGATGAACTGGTGGCCCTGCTGCTGAGACACTGGAGTGCCAGGCACTGGTAGAGAACAACCTATACCACATTCCTGGCCATCACAGGAGGAAGTATCATCACTCCAGCCCTTCAGATAGGTACCCTGGAGGCACAGAGTCCAAGCATGCTATCCCGTGCCTCTGCGAGCTCATACACTAAACCACCTCATACATGGGGTTCCGGAATGGAGTGAGCCGCACTCTCAGAGTTCCCTGGGTCAGGTGGGGTACCTGTTAGGCAGGAAGATTGGGAGGAAGCAGGCGAGAGGGCTGGCCACAGCGCTGAGGGCGGCGGACAGGTGGTAGGCGACAGGTCCGTACGGCAGGCAGGAGTAGGTCTGCACGGAGGGTAGCACCCCGTTGGTGAGCGCGTTGACAAAGGCCACCGTGGAGTAGATGAAGGCCAGCTGGGCTGGGTGGAGTTGGGCGACACTGACTTCCACAGACCCCTTGCCCGGGCTGCTTATAGGGGCACCCAGCGAGCCGGTGTCCTCTGTGTCTCGAGGCCTGATGGAGTGTAGGGTAACCTCGGAGTGGAGAAGGTCCTCTATGGAGCCTTGCCGTCCCCAGGGCTGCCGCTGCAGGAGGAAAAAGGCCACCAGGCAGCAGCCCATTAGGAAGGAGAGCAGGAGGAAGAACAGCAGTGGTGAGAAGCGTGGGGCCAGGTAGCGGCTTTCCAAGTGCCAGGCGAGGGGCGGCAGGGAAGGGCTGTAGGTTGTCTGTGGAGGAGAAAAGCTGCAGTTAGCCGCGTCACCGAGGGAGGCTGAGATGACAGAAACATCTGTTATGTCAGATTTCCAGATAAAAATCCGGGGAGGTCTCAATGACAACTTTGTAAAGCTCATTTCCTGGTACGACAATGAATTCGGCTACAGCAACAGAGTGGTGGACCTCATGGCCTACATGGACTTCAAAGAGTAAGAAGCCCACCCTGGACCACCCACCCCTGCAAGGACACAGCAAGAGAGAGCCCTTGGCTGCTGAGCAGCCCCTGTCCTAACTCAACCCTTGACACTGAGCGTCTCCCTCACAGTTTCCATCCCAGACCCCCAGAGAGCAGGAGGGGCTTAGGGAGCCCTACTCTCTTGAATACCATCAATAAAGTTCACTGCAATCCCCTCAAAAAAAATCTGGGGAGGTTAGAGACATCTTGACCTTAGATTCTCATTTCCCTGGTCTTCATGGTTTTATCTGGAGGCTCGGGATAAACTCCCCCCGCCACATCTAACTAAAAGACCAGACTATGTCACCCTAGACTTCTTTAGTGCAGATTACTCTAAACTGGTTGAGTCGAGCCAGACAGAGTCGTAGCTCCCCAAGGTCTACTGGAAAGGGATGTAGACATTTTTCTGGACTGAGATATGCAATCTTTGTCATTTGTCAGAGCCCGGCTGAGTTTAGGACAGGTCACCTTTGCTCATCAGTCGTCTCTTCTCCCCGCCCAGAGTACATCTCCATACTCGGATGAGCTCCAAGCCCCTGTCCCTTTGTGGTTTGGGGAAGGCTTAAACCCCTATCACCTGGCCGGCCTTTGCTTCTCACACCTCTGTGAACCTCTAACACACATACACTTAAAATGGTCTTTCCACTGCTCGCCCTCCTCACACTCTAACGTGCAGCTCTTAGCTGACAAGACGGCTCAGCAGGTGAAGGCACTTGCTATGCAAGGCTGACAACCCGCACTCCAGCCCTAGAACCCTCGTCAAGGTGGGAAGAGGGAACTGACCCCACAAAGTTGTCCTCTGACCTCTACACTTGTACAGTGGCCTGTGGCCCTATGCACACGTGCCGGAATATACACACTGATAAAATAAATAAAATAATGTGTGGTCCCGTGGACGAAACTATAAAAATAAAGGAAACGAATTTTCCCTTCCCCACACTGGGGACCAGAGCAACAATGGCTCTGGGTCACACTTGGTACCTGGGTGATGTGGGTCTCCACTGTGGTCACAGGGTTCAAGGCGGTGCCCGGTGTCTCTGTGGCATTGATACAGGTGGTGATACCTGAGCCTTGGGCGAGAGCCACCAGTGCGGGCAGGAGGCCGCTGAGCCCTTCTCCTATAAAGAAGGTGGTGAGGTAGTACGTGGGCAGCTGACTCATGAAGGGCAAGAAAGTGACAGAGGAGGTGCAGTCCACCAGGGCCAGGAAGAAGGTGAGGACGATGAAGGCTACGCTGTGCTGTCTGCCCTGGATCCAGGAGGTCACGTTCCACAGGAAGGCCAAGAGGATGCAGGCAGCCGTGCCTGTGCACAGGATGAGGAAGATGACGGGCACCTCAGACAGGCAGCCGGGTTGGAAGCGATGCAGCAGGGTGACTAGGAGGGGGCCTATGTTGGCCAGTTGGATGACCACAGTGAGGTAGGAGGGCAGGTCCCAGCCCTCAGGCAGTTCAGTCACCAGCAGGGGCAGCTCCACCCAGAGCCCGTTGATAGCCACCCAGGAGCCCATGCCAAAGACGCAGACCAGCAAGTGTGTCAGCAGGGCCATTGTGGGCAGCCCGAGCCAGACGCTGTCCTGTCCTCCAGGTCAGGCTGTACAAGGGCCGGTGGAGAAGGCACCTGGTGAGACAGTTCAATTTTATCATCAACAAGATGGTTTTTTTTTTTTATCAGCAGAAAACATAGAAAACCTTCAACTGGGCAAGGGTTTCCTCAGCAGCACACAGAAATTCTGGCACCATGAACGAAGAGTTTGATATACTCAACTTTAGACACGTTAAAACACGCAAATGCAATAAACACAAACAGGTAAACAACATACTTTTGCAAAAAAAAAAAATTCCAACAGCAAGGTCAAAAGACAGTGGGACAACCTGGGGGAGGCAAAACAGACGAAAGGCTTGCTTCCTTAATGCATAAAGAGTTTTTCTAAACCAAGAACTGATAATTCCAGAGAGAAGTCCGTAAAAGATAGAAACAGTTATAGACTTAGAGACTGAGTTTTGGGAAGATGACTCTGGGTGCCATTTCCATAGTTAATTTCCTGTGAGCTGGAAAAGTCAGCAGATAGGATATTTTTAGTCACAGCCAAGGAAGGTCACCCATGCCACACTAGTGTCCTCGAGGAGCAGGTGAGGAAGAGGTCTAGAAGGGCAGAGCCCAAGGCCACCCAGCCAGCAAGTGAGAGCTGGATCAGCCTAGCCAGTTCCTCTCCCTACCCCCACCACATGCCCTTGAACTGGTCTCACGCCAGCACCCATCCAGTCGGGTAGCCACAAGCAGACTCCAAGTCTTTGTCCTTTTTTCTGTTTTGGTTTTGAGACAAAAATCTGACTGTTAAACCCAGGCTAGCCTAGAACTCTAGATCTTCCTGCTTTTGTCTCAGGGGTCTGTGTTGCCACAATCGTGAATCCTCTATTGTTCTTGTAGTTCTAGAGCTTTCTTGTGGCCAAGCCTCACCCAGGAATCTTGGATGCTCTGGCAGCCCCTTTTCCTGATTCTGACACAGGAAACTGACCTAGCAACAGGAGACGATTTGAATGATGGGAGAAGCGGAGACAACGAGACCTGGGACTTCACTATATATAAAAAATGTTGTCCTGAAGATGGGTGTGGAGGCACATGCAGCTAATCCCAGCTCTGGGGAGGTAGAAGCAGGTGAATCTCTGTGGGTTCAAGGCCAGCCTGGTCTACAGAGGGAGTTCCAGAACAGCCAGAGCTACACAGAGAAAGCCTGTCTCAAAAAACAAAACAAAACGACATCGTCCTGTTCTTACCCAGGGCACAGAGGACCTGGAGACAGCTTGGAAGCTACACTTGCTCTCCTGCCCTGCCTTTAAAGTGCTGTCCTGGCCTGTCCCTTCTCCACCCAGATTCCTGCAAGATCCTGCCTAGGAAGCCCTTGCAGGGCTGGTGCTCCAGGGGGCGCAGGAGGACCTGAACCCTACTCTGCTGACTCTTCCTGACTCAGCAAAGGATAAAGAGAACAGAGGGAGCCAGCAGTAATTAAAGGAGGCAATCTCCCCTCCAGGGCTATCATGTGGGAGCTCTTGCCTGGTGTGTGTGTGTGTGGAGGAGGGTAGATACAGAGATCAGTGGGGCTACATCAGGGTCTGTACCCCGGTTCTCCACTTCTGTCCTGCCCAGCTCTTTAGGTCTGGAGATCCTGTGAGAAGCCACCAGCATTGATGGCTAACAGGGAGGGGGACGTCCCAGGCGGAGGGAACAACATACCCGAAAGTCAGACTGTTTGTCTCAGAGCAGTGAATGTTCCGAGTGTGGTGGGGAGGTGGGGACGTGTTTAAAAGATGAACATTAGGGGACTGGAGAAATGGCTCAGCGGTTGAGAGCACTGACTGCTCTTCCAGAGGACCTGGGTTCAATTCCTAGCACCCACATGGCAGCTCACAACTGTCTGAAAATCCAGTTCCAGGGAACCTGACACCTTCACACCAATGCACATAAAATAAAAGATAAATAAATCATAAAAATTAAAAAAAAAGATGAACATTAGAGCCGGGCGGTGGTAGTGCGCACCTTTAATCCCAGCCCTCAGGAGACAGAGGCAGGCGGATTTCTGTGAGGCTGAGGCCAGTCTGGTCTATGGAGGGAATGCCAGGACAGCCTCCAAAGCTATAGAGAAACCCTGTCTTGAAAAACCAAACCAAACCAATCAAACAAAAAAGATAAACATAAGATGGGGTGTACCTCAGGGATAACCTCCCTCCCCGTCCTGGGTATTGAACCCACGTACACATATATGCCAGGCAAGAGGTCTATCGCCAAGCTACACACAGCCCTCTTGCCTTTACTTCTGAGGCAGGGTCTGAGCTATCCAGGCTGGCTGTGATTTCATTTCGTAGCCCAGACAGATCTTAACCTTGGGATGGCCCTGCCTCAGCTTCCCTAGAAGCTGAAACTGTAGGCCTGGGCCATGAGGCCTGGCTCAGTATCTGTACTTTTGCCCTGTTTTCAGTGGTCTTGTGGCTCTTGTTTATGCGTGTGCGTAACCTGCCTTTATTGGGTGCCTACACCCAGCTGAACAATTGTCCTTTGCTCCCAGGAATGTGAATAAATCTGTCAGCAAGAAAGCCAGAAAATCCAAATACAGAGCAGTCCAGGTAGCATTGTGTACCACAGAGCTACAGAGCCAAGAAGAACCGGGAGGTAGGAATACGAGCCTGAGAGGAGTCTGGGAAAGAGGGAAAGTGGAGCTGTCAGCCAGTACAAGGTCCCCTCCATGTTCAAAGAACAGCTTTGGGACCAGTGTGGCTGAGGCTCTAAGATTAAGGGAAGCAGAAAGGCCTTCAAGGACAGTGTTGATGTATCCTCAGTGGCCGACAAACCCATCCCCCCTCGCCGAGGTGGAGGAAGACTGGTTACGGTGAGGTGAACAATGGGGAGCCACGAAGGAAGCAGGGCACAGCCATTGCATGTCAGGGTGCTGACAGACTTTGAGCCGCCATGGCTACCTTGTTATCCACATGGACTGAACCCCTCACCAGCTCTGTAGCCTCTCAGCAGTACCGGGTTCACTCTATTTCACAGAGGCTCAGAAAGGAAAAAGAAGTGTTTAGAGTCACATAGCTGGTCAGGGTGTATGGGACTGTGAAACAGGCCCCAGTAAGGAGCAAGAAGAGTGATATTTCGGACCCTGGGACCAGGAAGAAGAGAGCAAGGAAGGGCTGAGGAGACCAGAGACACAGGCCCTAAGATAGAGCTGCTTCCTGGGTGCTAGAGCCCCCTGGCAGAAGGCCAGAGATGAGACCAAGTCTCTGATGGAGACGAAGTCCAGAAACAAGTAGGTGACTAGAGACCTCAGAGGGTGACCTTACGCCAGGGCCTTTTGATTCTCTCTCTCTCTCTCTCTCTCTCTCTCTCTCTCTCTCTCTCTCTCGTGTGGTGTGTGTGTGTGTGTGTGTGTGTGTGTGTGTGTGTGTTTTGCAGGGGTGAACCAGGGTCTTGTGCATGTTAGGCAAACACATACCACCCTCTTTGTTACTTGTACATCAAACACTGAATGTCAGCGGTCCCACACCCCCATTGTGTGGTACTGGGCTACCTCCTCCCCCACATGGCCTGACCTTGTTCCTGGACTGTAACAGTTTCCTGGCTTCTGCGCAAAGCCTCCCACCTCGGGATCCTCAGAAAGCGGCCAGTCATGGAGCCTACTGGGGCCTATCAGCTGGCACAGAGTGCTCCCACGGGAACAGGGGTGTATGTGGGGAGGTATTCTCGCCTATGTGGAGGCAGCATCTGGCTTGCGGGACACTGGGCCACCCTACACCCTGGCGCCATGGTTGGATGCTCACACTACATAGAGAGGCTGGCTGTTGGTAGGCACTGAGCCGATGGGCCAGACTGGAGGGAGCTGGTACTGGCTTGCTGGTGGCCCTGGGGACTGGGTAGGACCTGCCTGGCTTTGGGTAGCCAGAGCAGGGGATCAGAAAGTCAACCTAGGGAAGGGAGTGGGGTGCTGAACAGGGTGTGAGGAGTTATCGATGGTGGACGGGGCACTGGGGACAAGAGAACCAACAGTTAAAGATGCAGAAATAGTCAAGAGAAGCTGAGACAGAGGAAGAGGCCAAGAGGAGGCCTTAGTTCAGGGGCATCTGCTGGGTGGCTAGGAACCTTAGTCCTCTCACACCTAAGTGGGACAGGAATTTTCACCTATAGCTTCCAACTTATGTGATTCAAGTTCCCCCTTGTGAAGGCTTGGCTGGGCAACCACACACCCAGCAAGCAGCTGGTGGCAGTAGCATCCTGCTCACCCTGATCCACCCTGACCTCAGAGAGAGTCGTCTGTCATTCAGGTCTGTGCTCCCTGGCAGTATGACCTTGGGTCATTTGCTCACTTTCTTTGAGCCTCCTGGGAGGTCCCACCTGTGAAAGGACGTGGGTACGTCATGACTTGTTGGCCTAGGTTTCAGGGAGGGAGGAGGTCTCACGGTTCCCTTCCTTCCTCTCCTCCCTGCGCCTGCGGGCCAGGAAGGGCGTCCAGCCTCCCATGTCAGCCGAACTTTCGAGGGGAGCGATCCCCAAATCTTGTGCGCCCGGGCCAGGCTGTTGAGGCTCAGTTGGTGGATACAGGTCTTGCGCGGCAGCATCGCGGCAGAGGAAGCCGGGACTGGGAACTTGTGGACGGCTCAGAGTCCGCAGCTGCTACGCCTGTCCCTGCCGCCCTCCTGGCGGGAACTAGGGGAAAGGTCACAGGCCACCCGCTGTCCCCAGACGACCCACCCCAACCCCACCCGCCCGCGCTCTACCGCCACTCACCGAGCGTCACGGAGGGTCTGCTTGCGCCGCGGCTCCTGGCGTCTGTGGCGACACCTGTTTGTCTCCGCCCCGCTGGCTGGAAGGTGGGCGGGACCGGGGGGTTGGCCCTGCGACTGCATTCGGTAGCACCTACCAGCAGCCCAGTGGTACTAGAGCCTTCTGCATCCCGCCCTTCTCCTCCGGGATGTTCCCTCAGGGAACAACCCAAGGTGGGGTAGGGGCTCTTGCGGCTAGACTTAACTTTTTCAAACTCACAGAGATACTCTGCCTCCCGAATGCTAGGATTAAAGGCGTGGGTCACCACCGCCCGGTGCCGCTAGACATAAACTAGTCATTGCTCCTCGCTTCTGCCTTGGAGCCTACTACAGAAGCTCCTCTGTACAGATGAGCAAACTGAAGCCCAGAGAAGTGGGGTCTTGAGTGGAGCTACACAGCTCTGGGTGACCCTCAAGCCTCTGGTGGCTGACCAACAGTAATTTAAGCCTGCAGGCCAGAGGATGCGTACCTGCCGGATTTCACAGATGGGAAAACAGACTCAGTGAAGGATTATTTGCTCTTTTCAGGGAAGATGTAACAGGAAGCCCCCGCTAGGACTGGAGCAGAATCACAGGGGTGATCCACACACTGGGAAAATATGTCAAATAGGTCCAGGAACTCATTCACCTTTTGGGTGGCCTTCAGTGAGTATCTCAGCTTCTTCGGAACTGCCTTCCACTGTTGTGGAGACCCGAGGATTCCATCCTCACTCAGCTGGCAGTGTATTGTGAGGCTCAGGAAACACTACCCAAACTGTACTTAGAAGATGGCAACATGTCTCCCGTCCCTGCCCCCATCCCACCCCATTCCACCCCACCCCACCCCACCCCAAGCAAACATACTTAGATCTATGGTAAAGTTTGAGCTGGTCCTTCTCAGGCCTACAGGGGTGGCCTGGGGCACTGGTATTTGGTCATAGAATCCCACCTACCTGTGAAGGCAGGTCCAAGGGAGTCACAGTGTGTCTAGGCGACTCTACAGACAGCTCTTGTTCTCAGGGCTCTTTATCTCCATGACAACAGTCTTTACTCACGTGCACTGCCCCCTCTTCCTCAAAACTTGGGTACCACTATCACTCCCAAGCCCCTCTGTCATGAAGGATACTGGACTTGCTCCCATTCCTGACCCTTTTTCAAGCCTTAGATTTTATGGCACTTCGGGCTGGAATTTCTCCTGTCTGTGTGTCTCCTGCCCATACAATCACCAATGCACATGAAGAACTTGGAAGGTGGAGGCAGGACACATCCTTCCTTCTGAACCAAGGCAGACCATGCTGGCCCCGAGGACACAGGCTTGACTTTGAAAAGGTAGCCTCCCTAGCAGAGATGTTAGTTCTATGCCTGTGCCCTGAATGCTGCCTACCCGGGGCCAACAGAGTTCCCTCCATCCCAGCTCCCCTCTTTGCTGTGGTCTAGCCTATGGCCAGCCTCTCACAGGTGCTCCACATGGCATTGCTATTTTAATAGACTGGTTATCGGGCTGGAGAGATGGCTCAGTGGCTAAGAGCACTGACTGCTCTTTCAGAGGTCCTGAGTTCAATTCCCAGCAACCACATGGTGGCTCACAGCCATCTATAATGAGATCTGGTGCCCTCTTCTGGCATGCGGGCATACATAGAGGCAGAATGTTGTATACATAATAAATAAATACATCTAAAAAAAATTAGACTGGTTATCAACCCTTGGAGACTCTCTGCTGCTCACCCCATCCTCACAAGAAAATCCTTTCCCAACGGGGACCAACATGCTTCAACATCTTATTGCTCTCTCAACTTATTGCTCTCCCCAGTTTCAGAAGTGTATATGGTGCCTCTGAGCTACCGTAGTCCTTCCAGCTCTTCAGTGGAATACCCTTTCTGCCCACTACTTCCTGATGAGATCCTATCTTATTTCCAAGCATGAATATCAAATGCCACCTCCACCGAAGAACTCTGTCTTCTCTGTAACAAGTCACCTGCATGGGCTGTGTGAGTGTAGCTCACTGTTCACTGCACACATGGATGGACCCCAGCCTGTGCCTCCTCCCTGACTCGTGTGATCTGTAGAAAGTCTTTGGCTTCTGTTGTTTAAGATCCTTTAG